GCTTCATTAATGCCTTGAACGCTGTAGCTTTGATCAAATGCCTTTTGAGAAATATTAGTATGGCGCTCTTTGAAATCTATATGGAGCATGCTCGTCTTCAAAAGTTGTGGGGGCGGTTGGGTAGCCTAGTGGTTAAAGCGTTCGCTCGTCACGCCGAAGACCCGGGTTCGATTCCCGACATGGGTACAATGTGTGAAGCCCATTTCTGGTGTCCCCCGCCGTGATATTGCTGGAATATTGCTAAAAGCGGCGTAAAACAATACTCACTCACTCACTCACTCAAAAGTTGTGAAGTGCAGACACCAAAAGTTGGAACTGATGGAATATTGCTGGACATGTTGGAAAGTTAAAGTCATCCCGCTTGTCTTGTGAATAGTGTTTTGTCACTCTGAATATATATGCATAGAACTAAATATGAAACAGTTTAGGCGGTTTCACGGGTCTCCTTTATTTCTAATTCAGGTGGGTAAATCAGTGGACGGGGATTTGCTATTTGACCATCATCGAACTATATCAGATAATCGATATACCTAGCCAAATACCCTTTGTTTTGATTTTGCCAATCTGAGCAGACATTCTGACTAAGGACACACCACCTGTAAAGTCATAGCTTCCAGCAAATAATACCCAACGCTTACTTTGGAATAAAGAAGAATTATCCCCGTTGACTTGGTGTAACACAGAAAGCAATAAACACCTCAATAATAGCTTTGTCTGCATGACAAGTGATACGTATATACCTGTATTTCCGACATGTTGGTAATATAGCCACAACGTGAAGAATGAGCGTTGACGTCCATGGATTGCCACAGGGTGGAGGGATACAGACGAGATCGTAACGATTTATCATACCTCTATCTGACTTGCATGGAGAGGGTGCAGAGTATTCATGATTTATGACAGAGACAACCTGAGCTATGCCACCAAATTTATGAATGTGACCATGGCACGTGACAATGTGTCTCAATGATTGTTTATCACACACTTGAACACAAACAACAAAATTCTTACTAAGCCAGTAGATTCTAAGTTCCATTGCCAGGCCAATTTTTTTGACAGATTTCATCTACTTATCTCCCTTTACTGTGCAAGATAAATAGAATTAACTACGAAAAACACGCCAGCGTGGACATTGATTAAGATAGATGTATCATATAGATCGCGAAGAAAATATATCCTAATCAATCACAAAGCTGCTGCAACGCATTAGAATCCAGAGCTCTAGACAACAGATGAAATGTTGTGAGACATGTATTCCATTGATCATATGAGCACACGCAAATAGCACAGCTAACATTTGGATTCGAGTCAATACAGTCGTATGATATATATAAAGTGTGTGTGGCCAAAATGTTCTTCATCAGAAAAGGTAAGGCATGGAAAACATGCTTCTCTAGTGTAAGTCTGACTGTGCAGTTCTAAAACAAGACATGTCATGGAATCTCGTATCACATAGGAAATCACTCGCAATATGCAGTGTCACAGATAGCACATGTAATCTCTGTGCAGGAGGCTCAAGTATGAAGAAACATGCGGGGTGAGGCATGGGATGGCTAGTTTTATGTCTATATTTATGAAAAATACAGACTATGACTTCGATTATATGCCCACATTATGCCATTGCGCCCTGTCAATGTAAGCCAATCTTTTCTAAATTCAAGTGGTTGTTTTTATCAATTCAGATCAATGTTATATTAAAAAGGATGGTAAATTTAAAAAGTCAGACATTTTTATTTCAACTCAAATTAACCACCCCTCCTATCTGAGGGTTTTAGAACGTCAATAAAACACAGGAAGGAAACTATCGGAAAAGGTGGGTGATAAGAGGGATGCGACAGGGATCATTCCTCCACCACCAGCATCAATACTTCGTGTGTGTCAAGTGATATTATTTCTTTATGAATTCTTACAATGACCCAGAGGAAAACAGTGCTGATGTTACCCTTCATGGTTTCGGGTGATTATTAGTTCAAAGGTTGACGTCATGGCTACTGACACATGTCACAGGAAATAGCATAAGACTTGATGATCACATTGTTGTAAAAACAATGCAGATAATCGTGCAGAAAAATGTTACTGTATGTCTATATTCTTTGCCAATCTAGGTCAGTGCCCACAGCGACAGCATTAGGCAGATGTTGCGTTTAAGCGTAAAATCCAAGGAAGCGTGTTAAGGCCATCAAACTTTACGTTGTATTAGAAACCGAAAGTGAGTGCGTCTGATTCCTCATTGCCTAGAGTTTTCCTTCCTTTATAACTATCATGTACTTTTTTGTTTTTCTCTGAATTCTGCCAGGCAACGGCTTCAGTTTCCATGGAAGGGCATGCCGTAATTCAGTGAGCCATGACAGGATAAGAGAGAGAGCGAGGAAAGTCGACAGTCTGAAACCTCCGGCTAACGCGGTCAGTTTCAAATGTATTACCGACCCACGAATAATCAATAAAGACCACAAATATGTACAACACATGTTGCCACATAGATACCGCTCTCACCACAACACGTTGCCACATAGATACAGCTCTCATCACAACACATGTCGCCACATAGTTACAGCTCTCCCCACAACACATGTTGTCACATATATGGCTCTCCCCACAACACATATCGCCACATAGTTACAACTATCACAATAACACATGTTGGCACGTATATAGCTCTCACCACAACACATATTGTCATATATATATATAGCTCACAACACATGTTGCCACACATACAGTTCTCACCACAACACATGTTGTCACATATATAGCTCTCACCAAAACACGTTGCCAAACGTACAGCTCTCATCACAACACATGTTGGTACGTATAAAGCTCTCACCACAACACATGTTGGCACATATCTAGCTCTCACCACAACACATGTTGGCACATAGATATCTCTCACCACAATACATGTTGGCAAATAGATAACTCTCGCCACAACACATGTTGGCACATATATAGCTCTCACTACAAGACACGTTTGCACATATATAGCTCTCACCACAACATATTTTGGCACAAATATAGCTCTCCCCAGAACACGTGTTGGCACATATATAGCTCTCACCACAACACATATCACATAGATAACTCTCACCACAACACGTGTTGGCACATATATAGCTCTCACCAAAACACACGTTGGAACATATATAGCTCTCACCACAACACATGTTGGCACATATCTAGCTCTCATCACAACACATGTTGTCACATATCTAGCTCTCACCACAACACATGTTGGCACATATCTAGCTCTCATCACAACACATGTTGTCACATATCTAGCTCTCACCACAACACATGTTGGCACATATCTAGCTCTTACCACAACACATGTTGGCACATATCTAGCTCTCACCACAACACATGTTGGCACACATCTAACTCTCACCACAACTCATTTTGGCACATAGTTACAGCTCTCCCCATAACACATGTTGTCACATATATGGCTCTCCCCACAACACATATCCCCACATAGTTACAACTCTCAGCATAACACATGTTGGCACGTATATACCTCTCACCACAACACATATTGTCACATATATAGCTCACAACACATGTTGCCACACATACAGTTCTTACCACAACACATGTTGGCACATATCTAGCTCTCACCACAACACATGTTGGCACACATCTAACTCTCACCACAACTCATTTTGGCACATAGTTACAGCTCTCCCCACAACACATGTTGTCACATATATGGCTCTCCCCACAACACATATCCCCACATAGTTACAACTCTCAGCATAACACATGTTGGCACGTATATAGCTCTCAACACAAAACATATTGTCACATACATATATCTCACCACAACACATGATTTCACATATATAGCTCCCGCCACAATACATGTTGGCACATGTATAGCTCTCACCACATCACATGATGTCACATATATAGCTCCCGCCTAAACACATGTTGCCACACATACAGCTCTCACCACAACACATGTTGCCACACATATCTAGCTCTCATCACAACACATGTTGTCACATATCTAGCTCTCACCACAACATATGTTGGCACATATCCAGCTCTCATCACAACACATGTTGCCACATATCTAGCTCTCATCACAACACATGTTCGTACGTATAAAGCTCTTACCACAACACATGTTGCCACATATATAGCTCCCCCTACAACACATGTTGGCACATAGATAACTCTCGCCACAACACATGTTGGCACATATATAGCTCTTCCCACAACACATGTTGGCACATATATAGCTCTTCCCACAACACATGTTGCCATACATATAGCTCTTCCCACAACACATGTTGTCACATATATAGCTCTCACCACAACACATGTTGTCATATATATAGCTCTCACCACTACACATGTTGTCATATATATAGCTCTCATGACAACACATTTTGGCACGTATATAACTCTCACCACAACACATGTTGGTACATATCTAGCTCTCACCACAACACATGTTGTCACATATCTAGCTCTCACCACAACACATGTTGTCACATATCTAGCTCTCACCACAACACATGTTGTCACATATCTAGCTCTCACCACAACACATGTTGTCACATATCTAGCTCTCACCACAACACATTTTGGCACGTATATAGCTCTCACCACAACACATGTTGGCAAATATCTAGCTCTCACCACAACACATGTTGGCACATAGTTACAGCTCTCCCCACAACACATGTTGTCACATATATAGCTCCCGCCACAACACATGTTGCCACACATACAGCTCTCACCACAACACATGTTGGCACATATCTAGATCTCACCCCAACACATGTTGGCACATATCTAGCTCTCACCACAACACACATTTCCATCTCTAACAGTTCATTGTAATACTGATTCCATTGATGTATTTGTCTTAAAATGAAACACGCCGCAAACAGTGTCACTCCCATAGTGTGGCTGTTCCCAGCCATGGGGGTACGTGTGAATTCTCACGAATGCTCTCTGATCAGTCATGTATGACCATGTCGTTTCAAAGCCGCGGGCTGTCTTACCCGCAGTCAATCATTGTGAGTCAAACAGAGGACAAGCGAGGCCACTCTTCGTGTTGTGGGCGCAGAGAAACTGATCACACGACCAGGTAAGCAAGACATGTTACAATTCTCTTCTCTTACGACTACTTTGTTTGTTTGTTTGTTTGTTTGTTTGTTGTTTACCGCCGCACTCAGCAATATTCCAGCTATATGACGGCGGTCTGCAAATTAATCGAGCCTGGACCAGAAAATCCAGTAATTGATATCATGAGCATCAATCCAGGCAATTGGGATCGATGATATGCATTAAACCAAGTCAGCAAGCCTGACCACCCGATCCCGTTAGTCGCCCCTTACGACAAGCAAAGTCGCCTTTTACGGCAATTATGGGTTGCTGAAGACCTATTCTACCCTGGGTTTTCTCGGGTCCTTACGAGTACTTGTTGTTACACATGCTACAGTAACACTTACAAACATAAACGCATGTAGTATGTTAAATAACGGATTATGAGGGAAAATTAATTCAACATGAGGTATATGGGTATGTAAACAGTAATTAAGTAGTTTTATTTATATTAAATCTATATAATATAATATTTAAAAACGTAATGATACCATTCTATATAAACATTCAGCGTCACATTTACAACGTTATGTTAGGTAACATATGTTCATAGTTAACTTTATCATGTCTCCCTGAAGCTCATTATGATATTTGAATAAACATTTTTGCACGAGTAGTAAATACGAACACAAGTATTGCATTTGAAATCAGCACATTTACCGTTCACGCGTTGTTACGTTAGTCGCTGACTGCTCATCCAAGGTCAGTGGGTGAGTTAAACGTAACGTTGCATTTACATTGTTTCGGCCATGCAGGGAAGAGAGCATTTCACAGAGTTAACAAATATGTCATCAATACATGCCAAGTTATATGTCAAATTATGACTAAATTTAAGTCTCGTGCTATATCTATTGATACAGATATGTTAACACAAGTAATAGTACATGCACTATGGGATATCATCATGGTGAATATAACAATAGCAAATGTTGGCAATCCATAAATAAATATTTATATTATACATGACTTAGCGGTTTACCACTTTACAACATGGCTATATCTAAGTGAATATATGCATTTGTTTCTCATCCACTTGTCCGTTTGTGCAGTATTTAACACAACTGACATGTCGGTTTAGGCAATGTTCGCTGTATGTATGTCCATGCTATGGAGGTACACTGTGGGAACAGTGTGTGCACTGTGTTTAATTATGTATCTGCTTGCCATGATTCTCCTAAACATTCTGCACATCTTTCTCACTCTGTACGTGTATATTATCTCATTATTTTATTATATAACATAATTTTGTTGTCCTCAATTTCACCGATTGGTCAGCATTGTAACTGTGCAGATGTCTTGGTGATCCCATGAAAAAGACATATTCATTTTTTTAAATCATGGCGCGTAATAGATTTCAGTCGAACAGACGTACTTGAACGTCTTAGTGCCTGTATATTTGTTGCACGTTTAATTATTGCTTGGACGAGTCAGCGACCGATCTGACCGGGCGGCTTCCATTTGAAAATCTTCAAATGCAAAGATAAAGATATCGACATCCATGGGTGTTTATTATTTCATATATGCGTGTGAAAGACATAACAATAGTCATATGCCACTGAAATCTCATTAACTCCTGAGTACCCTATCAAGTCATGTTTAAGTCTGGAAAGGTAGCGGTAGATCATAAAATATTTAAAAAGAAAACTGAATTCATGTAAGTAATTGTACATAAGATTTCAATTCACTTTAATGACGCCTGGTAAGCTGATGAAACTGACAGAGTAAGTTGAGATGTGATCATGTATTCCGCACTGTAAACATATCAACATTATTCTAAATATTTCGTTTTCTCTGATTGAGAATATGTAAAGACGTTGTATGCCCAATTGAACATCGAGGTTTAATGTGGAAGATCTTGTGCATGTGCACATGTATATGTCAAAGAGGAAAACGACGAAAATTAATAAGATAAGTTAGTTCGACAATACATAAATGAACAATTACATAATGTTGTAAGTGGCAGGAATGGTCATACATTTCATCTGCCCTCATCACCGCATAGTTTAACAACCTCCACATGAATTACGCATGAGGTGTACGACCGTTTCAAGTTAACAAGAGAAATGGTTGTTTACATCTTCCCTCCGTCACAAACATGGCGACTCTTCACAGAGACCATATACCGACCGGTGTATACATATCAGTCACATACATTGCGACTCTTCACAGAGACCATATACTGACCGGTGTATACATATCAGTCACAAACATGGCGACTCTTCACAGAGACCATATACCGACCGGTGTATACATATCAGTCACATATATGGCGACTCTTCACAGAGACCATATACCGACCGGTGTATACATATCAGTCACATACATGGCGACTCTTCACAGAGACCATATACCGACCGGTGTATACAAATCAGTCACATACATGGCGACTCTTCACAGAGACCATATACCGACCGGTGTATACATATCAGTCACATATATGGCGACTCTTCACAGAGACCATATACTGACCGGTGTATACATATCAGTCACAAACATGGCGACTCTTCACAGAGACCATATACCGACCGGTGTATACATATCAGTCACAAACATGGCGACTCTTCACAGAGACCACATACCGACCGGTGTAAACATATCAGTCACATACATGGCGACTCTTCACAGAGACCATATACCGACCGGTGTAAACATATCAGTCACAAACATGGCGACTCTTCACGGAGACCATATAGCGACCGGTGTATACATATCAGTCACATATATGGCGACTCTTCACAGAGACCATATACCGACCGGTGTATACATATCAGTCACAAACATGGCGACTCTTCACAGAGACCATATACCGACCGGTGTAAACATATCAATCACATACATGGCGACTCTTCACAGAGACCATATACCGACCGGTGTATACATATCAGTCACATATATGGCGACTCTTCACAGAGACCATATACCGACCGGTGTATACATATCAGTCACAAACATGGCGACTCTTCACAGAGACCATATACCGACCGGTGTAAACATATCAGTCACATACATGGCGACTCTTCACAGAGACCATATACCGACCGGTGTAAACATATCAGTCACATACATGGCGACTCTTCACAGAGACCATATACCGACCGGTGTATACATATCAGTCACATATATGGCGACTCTTCACAGAGACCATATACCGACCGGTGTATACAAATCAGTCACATACATTGTGACTCTTCACAGAGACCATATACCGACCGGTGTATACATATCAGTCACATACATGGCGACTCTTCACGGAGACCATATACCGACCGGTGTATACATATCAGTCACATATATGGCGACTCTTCACAGAGACCATATACCGACCGGTGTATACATATCAGTCACAAACATGGCGACTCTTCACAGAGACCATATACCGACCGGTGTAAACATATCAGTCACATACATGGCGACTCTTCACGGAGACCATATACCGACCGGTGTAAACATATCAGTCACATACATGGCGACTCTTCACAGAGACCATATACTGACCGGTGTATACATATCAGTCACAAACATGGCGACTCTTCACAGAGACCATATACTGACCGGTGTATACATATCAGTCACAAACATGGCGACTCTTCACAGAGACCATATACCGACCGGTGTATACATATCAGTCACATATATGGCGACTCTTCACAGAGACCATATACCGACCGGTGTATACATATCAGTCACATATATGGCGACTCTTCACAGAGACCATATACCGACCGGTGTATACATATCAGTCACAAACATGGGGACTTTTCACAGAGACCATATACCGACCGGTGTATACATATCAGTTACATACATGGCGACTCTTCACAGAGACCATATACTGACCGGTGTATACATATCAGTCACATACATGGCGACTCTTCACAGAGACCATATACTGACCGGTGTATACATATCAGTCACATACATGGCGACTCTTCACGGAGACCATATACCCGCCGGTGTATACATATCAGTCACATACATGGCGACTCTTCACAGAGACCATATACCGACCGGTGTTTACATATCAGTCACAAACATGGCGACTCTTCACAGAGACCATATACCGACCGGTGTATACATATCAGTCACAAACATGGCGACTCTTCACAGAGACCATATACCGACCGGTGTTTACATATCAGTCACATACATGGCGACTCTTCACAGAGACCATATACCGACCGGTGTATACATATCAGTCACATACATGGCGACTCTTCACAGAGACCATATACCGACCGGTGTATACATATCAGTCACATACATGGCGACCATATACCGACCGGTGTATACATATCAGTCACATACATGGCGACTCTTCACAGAGACCATATACTGACCGGTGTATACATATCAGTCACATACATGGCGACTCTTCACGGAGACCATATACCCGCCGGTGTATACATATCAGTCACATACATGGCGACTCTTCACAGAGACCATATACCGACCGGTGTTTACATATCAGTCACAAATATGGCGACTCTTCACAGGGACCATATACCGACCTGTGTATACATATCAGTCACATATATGGCGACTCTTCACAGAGACCATATACCCGCCGGTGCATACATATCAGTCACAAACATGGCAACTCTTCACAGAGACCATATACCGACCGGTGTATACATATCAATCACATACATGGCTAGTCTTCACAGAGACCATATACCGACCGGTGTATACATATCAGTCACAAACATGGCGACTCTTCACAGGGACCATATACCGACCGGTGTATACATATCAGTCAGATACATGGCGACTCTTCACGGAGACCATATACCCGCCGGTGTATACATATCAGTCACATACATGGCGACTCTTCACAGAGACCATATACCGACCGGTGTATACATATCAGTCACAAACATGGCGACTCTTCACAGAGACCATATACCCGCCGGTGTATACATATCAGTCACATACATGGCGACTCTTCACAGAGACCATATACCGACCGGTGTATACATATCAGTC